GCTCAGCCCCGCACCCTCAGGGATGGGCACGGACCCCCCCAAATAACACCCGCATCCCACGCCAAGCCCGCAGGGCATCCTTGGGCGGCATTGCCACCCGTCTCCCCGCAGGTTATTCACACAAAGGCTGCACAGATGATTCCTCCTACACAGAGGACTGTGTTGCAATTCACCAGCAATTAGCGAGAGGACTGAATAACCTCCCGCAAGACTCCGGGTGCTTTTCCAACCAGGAATGTGAGCAGCCATGCTGGGGGGTTGTCATTAATTCCCCATTAGGATAAACTCCGATTGGGCTGGGGTGGGAGGAAAGTGCAGCAGATACCTTGTTCTTCTGCAGGGAGCAACTGCAACTCATGGGGAAAAAAAGAAAAGATAATAAAAAAGAAAATAAAATGTCAAACCTTATTTGCACTGGGGGAATTAAAAGACCCTGGAACAGCAGAGCCATCCAGTCTGGAGGACGCCAGGCCATGCTGGAGGCATCTCTGGAAGGTTTTGTCCCAGCAAACACTGTGACCTTGGCGGGAGATGCAATTTTCTCGCCTCGTGTCCACGCCTGCACAAAGCAGGACTGGAGCAGCTGGTGTTTTGTGTGACATATGTGAGAAATTTAGGTGTCTGCCCTGATGTGAGATGCCCACAGGAGGCAGAGGAATTACAGAATGGTCAGGGTTGGAAGGGACCTCTGGAGATCATCCAGTCCATGGCCCCTGATAGAGCAGGGTCACCTACAACAGGTTGCACAGGACGGCATCCAGGCGGGTTTGGAATGGCTCCAGAGTGGGAGACTCCACCACCTCTCTGGGCAGCCTGTGCCAGTGCTCTGCCACCTCAAAGGAAAGAAGTTCCTTCTCATGTTAAGATGGAACTTCCTACGCTCAAGTTTGTTGAAGGGAGCACGGCTGCACTCTCATCTTGCTTTCTGTCCCCTCTGGTTTAACAGGCTCTGCCATCTGGGATGGCCACCCCAGCACCCACATCCCCCTCCTCCTGGCTGTCCCCAGGTACAGGACAGCACACAGGGAGCAAACACCGAGACCAAGCGAGCAGCGCCAGGCAAGGGGCAAAGCCAAGCCACACACCTCAAACCCGCACCTCTCACCAACGATGCAGACGTGAGAGTACTCTTTTTAACTCACGCTTTGCACAAAATGCATTTTCATACATATATTTATCAAGGGCTTTATACTCACAGCTTTGCCTTGCCAAACCCATTTAGCCAAAAACTTCACCCATTTGAATTGCACACAACTGTCGTTCATAGAATGGTTTAGGTTGGAAGGGACCTTGAAGATCATCTAGTTCCAACCCCCCTGCCATAGGCAGGGACACCTACCACCAGACCAGGTTGCTCAAAGCCCCATCCAGCCTGGCCTTGAACACCTCCAGGGATGGGGCAGCCACAGCTTCTCTGGTCAACTTGTGCCAGTGTCTCACCACCTTCAGGGTAAGGAATTTCTTCCTAATATCTAATCTACATCTCCACTCTTCCAGTTTAAAACCCTTACCCCTTGCCCTATCCTACACCCCCTGACGAAGAGTCCCCGTTGGGGCATGCAAGGTTTGTGCGTTGCCCTCGATGCCTCAAATAAGCCACGTAGGAGGACAAGGACAACCTCTCCTCCTCCTCGTGGAGTTATGCCTCCAGGTCACAAAGCCATCTATGCCCGGTTTATCTTCTTTTTCTCAAGGCATAAGAGAACTGGCTCAGAGGAAGGGTGGGAGCACTGGGCTTGTGGCTCCTCACACCTCCCACGCTGCCAGGAAATACCCTGCCTATGCATGCGGCTCAGCTGCTCTCAGACATCTCCCCCACACACCCCCAGATACAGAAAATATAAATCTATAAATACATATAAATACATCTATAAATACATATTGAAAGGAATTTAAAATATATACATATATAGATAATGTATATAAAATATTTATGTAGTATATATTAACATATAATATTTATATAAAAAATATATATAATATCAGTAAATATATTGCACACATAAATACGCATACAGCTGAGGGCTGCGTAGAGGTCACAGCTAGGAAACAGGCAATGATGGAGCCAGGGACAAGACCAACATCCAGGTGCAAGGAAAGGAAGGAGCGATGCTGGAATTATCCACATCACAGACGGAGCCAAGGATTCCCCAAACCCTGGCCCGTTCCACGACCTGCCACCAAGATGAGCCTGGAGAAGAGAAGGCTCCGGGGAGATCTTATTGCAGCCTTCCAGTACCTAAAGGGGGCCTACAGGAGAGCTGGGGAAGGACTTTTTACTAGGGCATGTAGTGACAGGACGAGGGGGAATGGATATAAACTGGAAGAGGGCAGGTTTAGATTAAACATTAGGAAGAAGTTTTTCACTTTGAGGGTGGTGAGGCACTGGAACAGGTTGCCCAGGGAAGTTGTGGATGCCCCATCCCTGGAGGTGTTGAAGGCCAGGCTGGACGTGGCCTTGGGCAACCTGGTCTAGTGCGAGCTGTCCCTGCCCATGGCAGGGGGGGTGGGACTCTATGATCTTCCAGGGCCTTTCCAACCTAAACTATTCTATGATTCTTTGAGTAAAACATGTCCAAATGTCCCAGGGAACCATCTGCCTCTCCTTTTCCAGCTTCCTCATGCTTCCTTGGCACCTCCTGGCCAAGGCATCTCCACGACGTGCCCGTTTCATGGCATTCCTTCAGCCGGCTGCTAAATCCTCTTTTCAGGACTTTTTTTTTTTTTTTTTTTTTTTTTTAATGCTTTAGCTTCAAATCCCATCAGAAAACACAACTGGGTGCCGGGCTGGGAAGTGGAGCTGCGGGACCGCCCCAGCAGTGCCCTGGGGGGGTGGCATGATGGGTACAGCATGGACCATGGGTTTAGCTGGGAGCACCTGGACCGTCAGAAAAGGACAAATCCCCGATTTCCTAGCCAGACTCACCCCGAGAACTCACTAAGGATGAGTTAAAGCCGGCGGTTTGTGCTTGCCTTAAGCTATTGATGGAGCCCATGATCGGACACCTTCCCTCCCCTTGCTGATTCTCGCCCAGGCACATCAACAGCAGCACCACCACTCCCAACATGGAGATTAAAAAAAAAACCACTTGCCAACAGCCTGGTACTGGGCTCCACCTCAAAAACACTGCTTTTAGCAAGCTGGTCCATGCCAGGCACACCAGCCACGCTCGCTCGCTCTTCGTGATGCTTTGAAGACGTGTTGCAGCCACCGCGAGCTCAGTGCTTCATTGCCAGCGAGGGAAAACCCCACCCCAGTGCTCCCAATAATGGCTCTTGCTATTTTGCACTGTCTTTCATCTGTCCATGTGCTGAAAAGTTTTAATCCTGTACCTATGTACAGTCCTGTAACAGCAATTTTCACTGCCTGCCAGAAAGAAAACACAGTACCCTAGTTAATGGCAAACACTCTGGGGCTAAGTATACAAAACAACAGTATTATAAAATAGAAGCATTTGTCCCATTAAGGTTTCCATTCATAGACGGAATAACAAGGCATGAGTTATTTGGAAGCGGAGATTTTAAGGACATCAGTAATGTAACAGGGCAAGAGAAGCGCTGCGACTGCAAGACCTCCGCTCAGGAGTGACTCAGCACAGCAGCTGCATCCTGGAAAATTAATACTTCAGCCCCCTGCAAAATGCCTGAAAAACCTTTAAGAGCTTGCAAAAACCAACCCTGGAAGCCCCATCAGCCTTTTGATCTGCTCACTGCTACGGGGGTTAACACATGTCCCCCACCCCGGCTCAGTGCGGGGACCTGTCCCCCGCGGGGAAACATCTCCCCCCCATTGCAGAGAACTCCGGCAGCGACCGTGGGGTCACAGGGCAGCACTGTCAACAGAATGCAATCACATTTTGGCCTCAAAGCTAAAGAAGACAACCATCCATCCTCAACCTCACCATCCCTAAACCCCCAAATCTCCCTCTCCCCCTCCCCCACAGGCACCCCGAGCCGCCTTTGCACCAACCCGGGTGTCCCCGAGCAGAGGCAGGTGTTAAGGAGGTTAACACAGAATCATGTCAAGTAACAAACACCTAGTATTTATTAATAAATTAGTACACTGGAAGGCAATTTTTCAATTCATTCCCCTCTTCCCCCACTCCCACCCTTTCCCACGGGGCAGCACAGGCCACCGTCATATCACGATTTCTTCAAATTGAGCGTAGTACAGACTGTTCGTTACGGGAGCATAATAGTTGCAAATAGAATCAGACAGACTTCTTACGATGCAGCTTTTTTCCCCCCCATCCCCACCCCTCCCACCCCACCCCCTTATTTTTCCTCCTTAATAAAAAGTGAAGTGTGATTTGAAGAGACTATTAAGACCAGGGAAGGTCTTTGGAGAACCTATCGGCCACGTCTGTATAAAAAACAAGAGACACGAGTGTAAAAGCATAGCTTGGTTTGAGTCTTACAGCACGAGGAGAGCAGGACCACCGGCGGCCGCCTTCACCCCACCACATCCAGCACCGGCTCCCTTCGGGGCCCCGCCGTTCCCGCAAGCGGCAAGGCAAGACAACTCCTTACATTCAACTGAAGGCAAAGGACCTTTTCATCCCCTCGAAGGTTGGTGGGACTGACCCTTTTCTTTGCGGTTAAAGCGCTTCTGCTTTAGCTTATAGGAGCGCGACGCATTGTCCAGGTGAAAACCATACAATAAATAACCGTGCTAGTAAAATTTCAGCAATGGATATGAGCTATACAATAGTACAGTAAAAAATAAAAAGTCAGCCTGGGTGGGAAGCTTAGCTGCGTTAAGAGATGGTAACCAGCAACGATTGGGGTTTGATTGGGTTGTTTGGTTGGGGTTTTTTTTTGCGTGTTTTTGCCATTTACCGTTCTGAGGCGAAGGGAGGTGGTGGGAGACGGTCACTCCGAGCGACAGCTTTGACAGAAGTGGGTTACAGAGCAATCCCCGATGTGTTAAATTACACCAGATTCGTGGTCTTTTAGTTCATTAACTGCATTTTTTTTCTTTTTTCTTTTTTTTTTTTTCCTTTTTTTTTTTTTAAAGTGCATCGACTGATCTGATTGGAATGAGAACGCGGAGAAGAGAGGCTCGGGAAGGGGACAGAGGGTGCGGAGACTTGGACTGAGCGATAGAGTTAAGGTGGAGGGGTGCAACGCTGGCAAACTGCCCCCCCTCCAGAAACCAAGGACACCTCAACGAAAATACTGGCCATATATTCTACAACAAAACCTGCCTGCGTATTGTCGGTCATCTTAACGAGTGCCAAGCTAGCTCTAGCAGATATTCGGAGCGTGTGTGGTGACCCAGTGCCTACAGTAAGTCAGGAAGATGGCTATAGACAGAGTCCAGGAGGGTCTGGCTGGCTTCCTGGCTCTTCACTCCGGCGATCTCAAATAGCCGGTCCAGCTTGTCTTCAGCCTGCGGGATCTCCTCTATCACGTGGAGCTCCTCGGGGTTAAGGATGTGCAGCATGTCATCGAAGATGGGCTGCAGGTCGCAAGGGTCCAAGCGCACCTGGCGCAGGACGGTGTCCTTCTTTTCTGTAGGAGGAAAGGAGAGGGTGGTCAAGAAACCCCTCAAGAAATCTCTGCTAACCAGGGCTTATTCTCCTTGGAGACCTCAGTCCAGCCCCTGCTGCCACCTCTGGAGGGACACGTCACCAGAATTGAGGGAAAAGGGGGAGGGTGATGACCGATATGGAGGGGAGAAGATGGAGAAGCCAATGCTGCTGAGGCACCTAATCCAGGATCCCACTAGAGCAAACACAGCACTTATAAATGCTGAATGGCCAATGCAGAAAAGTGAAGAGGAAGGGGAGCCAAAAAAGCTGAATTCTGCTATTTTGAATTGTTTTCGTTGGGTCAGCTTCATTTCCGCACCCAAGTATAAATTCAGTAGATTGACTGAGCTCAGTGGTTCACCTTCATCAGAAGTTGAAGCAGAACAAATGCAGCAAACTAACTGCAGTAAATTAAATCCCCTCAAAAAAGGGTGAGTGACTAGCAGTGATTTACATCGCAAGTCAGACCCTGGAGCAAGCAGGAAGAGGGGCGGGGGGGGGAGAAAAAAAAAAATCAGTCTTGAAATGACATTTTCCTGGTTTTACCTCATGAAATAACCCAAGGGCCAACGCACGAGCCAAAAGTCAGGAGAACCCCCCCAAACATCCAGGGATGCTACAAGTTCTCCAGCAGCACTCTGAAGACTTAAAAGCATTTAAAGATGTTTTCCCCTCTCAAATCTGTATCATCTTCGCTAACAGGATAGTCTGGTCTGGAATGAGGATGTGATATACTCCTGCAGAGCCAGTTTTCCTAGTAAATTACTTTAACGATATCATTGCGTCATGTGTGCTGACTGCAGGGGACATGCCGTGGCATCCCTTCGGTCCTCCCGCTCCCCCCAACCCGGGGCTGATTTTGGTACCTTTGGTAATAAAAGAGCCTGTCCGGCTGAGCGCGGAGGAGCCGCTGGAGGTCGAGTCGCACCGCAGGAGGGGCTCCGCTTCGTCGACGAAGAAACATTTCTTCTCTGAAGGAGAGGGCTCCACGGTGAGGACGGTCGCCTCGGGGGGCTTGGGGCTGGGGTTGGGCGCGGGGCTGAGTGGGCTGGGGCTCACCGGCAGCGCCAGGTTGTCAGCTTCCAGCTTTGGATAGTGAAAGAGAGAGGGAAAATTAACTTGGGGGATGCTACGCAACGGGCTCGTGCTCAAAACCATCCCGACGGGGATTCGCAGCGGTTTAAAACACGTCTCAGCCCATCCTCAGTGAGAGGTCCCACGTTTGGGTGGTCGCCTCCTCCCAGGGGACCTGCTGACCCAGAACGGGCACAGGAGGTGACCCAGGGTGGACATCAGGCTGGCATTTGGCACGCCAGCGCTCAGCAGGTAGGAGGGGTAATGCAACCCGCACTCTTGGGAGGAGCAACAGCAGCATCTGGATGGTGCACACCACCACTGCAGAGCATTTTAACTTCATTTTCCGTCTCACTCTTAGGTTGTTAAAGCTCAAAATACCACTCGTTGGGGCTAATGGTGACAATACCCGAGCAGGTAAGCCCCCCCCAAAACCTCCTCCACAGCTATCATTTCCTAAAAGCAAGGCACAGCCTGGCTCCCCACCTCCGACCAGTGCTGAGGTTGCAGGGCGAGAGCTGTGACCACTCTCGGAGATCACTGCAGCATGCTCCTGCTACCAGCTACACCATTAACATTTCAAGTTAATAATTTGTCCGCCCCCTCTTTGCCCCTGCTCCTGTGAGCACCCTATTAATGCGTGATGGAGAAATCCACCCCATCCGACTCCGAATCCAGGGCCAGGAAGGACAAGCTGGGGCTGGCGTTGACCCCAGCATCCCCCCAGCGCCTTTGCTTTTTGCTGCCGTGGTGCGAGCCTCAGGCAAGCGTTTGGCTCCACAGTCCCAAAGACACAGGGAGCAGCAAGCACTGGTGGGACACACTGCGCTGGGAACCAGCACCATTTAGGAGGTGGGTTCACACCAGCACCCAACTTGACCATGCTCTGCATCTTCCTTCTTGCATCTCCTTCCTACCTGCATGGCAGCAGCCAACATTATCCACCCTCCTCCATCTCTCAGCATCCCCTCAGGGCGCATTCCTGGTTTCCATTCCCCTCAGGGACGAGAGGCTTGGGGCATCATCCCCAGTCCCTGGCTGGCAGCTCAGGCACCTCTGCAGGTCACAAGGTCCCCCCCAAGCAGGGCACTCTAAGCATTCCTTAATATTTAACTCCTTCCCAAACCCCGCATCCCTGCTGGAGCTGCCAAAGTACAGACTTGCAAGCCCTGTCTGCGCGCAACCCACTCTCCCATCAGCACCTTGCAACCTTCTTTTCTCCTTCTACAGAGGGAAGACCAGGCTAGTCCTGCTTGCACGCTCTTGCCTGCTACCCAGAGATTAAAATACAAAATTCGGATTAAAGGCTGTGGGACTGGGAGCTGCTGAGCCACCTCCGCGCCAGCATGGATGTGCCTGCGCATTCTTCATCTGTGTCGAGGAATTTGCCACCCACAAATCACATGTCTGCTGAGACACCCATTAGTTCACATTAAATTAACACTGAAGCCTGTTCTTGGTAGTATAAAGGTTGTGTGTTTTTTTTTCTCCCCATTGAAAATAAACAGGGGAGGATTTGTTCTAGCTCAGCACGTTACGCAATAGGCACGTTAAAAATAAAAGTCAGCTTTAATTTTTTAATTAAAAGAACCTGCTTTCTCCTCTGAAACTCCCTTTCCAATACAGCTCATCGACGAGAATCAGCCTATTGCCATTAAAGGGGAAAAGCAAGGGAAGGACCAGAACAGCGGCTGGCCGCTTTCCAAATTGCAACACGCTCCGATTTCCCCTTTGGGAAAAAAAAATAATAAACCAAACAGGCTTTAGGGGTTAGTTTTCCCCTCTGCAACTCATCTATTTAATATCCAGCCACAAACCCACCTCCTGATTTCCAAAAAGGAGGCCCCGATGGCCCAGGGAGGGCAGGGAGCAGCCGGCTGCCCTGGCTCTGCCTTCCCAGCAGAGGGGAAAAAATCCTTCCCAGAAGCATGCAAGTCATTTGGAGTTTAATTAAACAACTGCTAAAGCACGCTAGGGAAAAAAAAATAATAAAAATCACCCAAGGTTATTTGACTGTAGGCGTCCCGGGAGCCCAAAGCTTTCCAAATAGCTGAACGGTTGCAAGCTTACGAGACAAAGTCAACAGGATGCTCGGATGTGTGTTAATATTTAAACTGCAGGAAGAAAGCAAGTGGGAATGAGGGTTTTGAAACGCCAGGGAAAGCAAAAGGTTGCCGCGAGGTGAAGCCTGTGGAATAGGTGTAAAAATACACTATTCATAGCCCGTGACTCATTTGCTCGAAACCACCTCAGCCATCGCTATTTTTAAGAACGGCGGTGCTCCAGTGAAACCGAGCTCTGACTGGAAAAAAACCCTCCAAACGGACAATTCTGAAGGCCTTTTGCCTTTCCAGAGCCACCACATCTCTCACCTTTCCGTCGTCGTTGCAGGGTTCCGGCGCTTGCCACTGAGGCTGCATTTGCACCTGCACAGACAGACACATGGGAGACTGCTGTTAGACACACGGTCCAGCGCCAAAACCAGAGGCCGCCGCGGCAGCTTTGACGCATCGGCGGCTTCCCGTGACCGGTCAGTCATACCGGGGCGCTCCGCCAATTTATTTTTAATTTTTTGAGCACTGCAGCAAGAGGTTTGCAATGCCAAAAAAACCCAAACAACCCCAACCCAATCCTAAAAGCTCCCTTTAGGCTGCGGCTCAAGCACCGACATCCTCACGGATACCGATGCACCTGGGAGGATGCTCTGAGCAGCCGAGGGTGCCTGAAGGTCCTTCCTAAAAGGAAGAAAAGGGGACAGAAGGGGATGGGTGCAGAAGATGACATGGGAATGGCTTTGCTTTCTTTTCACAGCTGCTCCCAACAGCTCCGTTCGAACTGGCTGGTCCCATTTTCTGCCTTCGTTTTACTGTACTGCAGTAGTAGCTCAAGTTGGACAAACAGAAACTGCAGCTGCTGTGCTAATAATAATAGGAAGGAGCAGCCGTGGGCATTAAAAAACAACAGAAAAAAAAAAAACAAAAAAACCAACCCTGCCCTGGGTGCTGCTTCCCTGTAACTCCTCCTGCAGCAACCAGGCAGTAATAAAAGCCGGTGGTAGGTTTGCTGCTGCATCAGCCCAGCTTTGTGCAGCCATGCTTGGGTTGGGTTTTCTTGCCCCAACACAAACATGACTCAAACTACTGTTGGTTTTAAAAAAAAAAAAAGGGAGCTGGAGTCAGAGGAGCAACCTCGGCAGAGGGTGGCTGCACACCCTCTCAGGATTAGGGATAAATTTAGCACCGAGGCCACTGTTTCCCGGATTCCCTGCTGAAAGATGACACTCGGCTGACACCAGCCCTATTCCCAGGTCTGGTACACTTCCGTAGGGAACACGGGAGGAGAAACCCCGGCACGTGAAGCAGGGTGGGCTGGGCAGCAGCCCTGCCTGGGGGATGCTGCAGATGCAGGGCGGTGTTGGGGTGGGATGCTCTTGCTATGGTCCCCACAGGCGCAGGAAGGATCCACTTGGATGAGCAGCTTCATGGCACACGTGGTGTTTGGGGGTCCACCTTCAGGGCAGACTAGACCTTGGAAGGTAGAACACCATTGGCCAGGCCATGAGGTCTTGCCAAGGTGGCAGAGAGACACAGCGATGGTCTGCAGGTGCTGCAGAGCAGGAGGTAACCCCTTCGCCAACATGGGAAGGGCATGAGGGTGCTCAGCACCCTGCGCTGGGGTGGGGTGGGAAAGCCCAAATGTCTTCTCTGCATCCTTCACCTCACTGGCCAGGTTTCAGAAGAGCGCTCGGCCACCATGGCTGTGGTGGAGCCAGCATCCCTGAACACACCGCAGCCCTGGAGAAGGGGTACTTAAGTCAAACCTCACCATGACCCAGGATAGGCAATGCCGGGTCTGGAAAGGCTTTAGATGCCGAGACCAAAAATACAGCTGTCCATGAAGGAAGCACCTCTTCCCCACCATACCTGGCCATTTGTGGGCCAGGTGCTGCCCAGCAGGAGATGGTGTCCCCATGGGAGCTCCTGGTTGGCTTCTCCTTTCTATGGATTTGCCCAGCCACTTTTTCAACTCAAGCCACAATGAAGAGCTGATGAAGCCATGACAAAGAGTTTCCAAAATGAACTACAGGCCGAGTAAGTCAGACCGAATTTGGCTTGTTTTGACCCCAGCATCTTTGAATTTCACCTTACACTCCCAAGCCCAATATACTGCAAATAGACCAAAGGAGACACAGCTACCACAGCAGGAAAACCTCAAATATAACTGCATTTGCTATAAAATTTATAATTTTGTGTTTATATTATTCATATTTGTATGACTTTATAAATTATTAAATTTTTCTTTATTGCATGTTCTCCCATCTGGTTCAAACCCAACCCCGGTTAGCCAAAAAACAACTCATGCTTTAAAGCAAACCTACAGGAAAAGAGTGATGCCCACCCCAGCAAAACCCAACCAGCCCTACCCTTTCCCTGAGGCTCTGGCTACTTTACCCTACAGCTTTATGCCTCAAATAAAGCCTGATGCAAGTCCAGAAGGAAAAGTTACATGCTATTTTGGGTTGGGTTTTTTTTTTCCCCCCCTGGCTGCCTGGGCATTTCCCAGCCCTCGGACCGCAGCCCCACGGCTCGGAAATCCACCCAGCAGCTTCACCCTCGCTCCACCGCATGAGGCTAACACAGCACACAAAAAAAAAAAAAAAAAGAAGAAAATAAAATAGCTAATTGCTAATTACTGGGTCCAGCCCAATTCTGTTTTGCCAAAAGAGGAAACACAGGGGATAGGCAGGAACTGTCAGGGCTGGATCTGGGGAACGTTGCTCCAGGCTCTTGACCCCCACCCAAGGTTTTGACCTGCAAAAGGGGAAGAAAAGGAGGCAGAAGGCGCTGCCGCAGCCGCGTGTCGGGACACGGGGCTGCTTTCACATCCTCTTCTCCTCCAGCAACCCCTCCAAAACCCCACGGCTTAACCTCACACCAAACCCAACCCTGACATATCTGCTGATTCACAGGATTATCCGCAGCATGCAATTAGCTGCGGACCTAAATCTCGTTGGGCTGTAGCTCCCCCCTCTCCATTTCCAATATCTCCCTTATTAACGTATTATTTTTAAGCTTTGCTGAGGCTGCACTGCTGAACACCCCACGCAAGGCCGTTCGCTTCACCTCCATCCATTCCCCGAAATATTGCAGCCGAGGCCAGCAGAGCCATAAATAAAAAGATAAGAGCTTAAAGCACTGCTCAGGGTAGGTCACTTACGGTAGCCAATGTGGCCAGCCGTGCCAGCCACGCTCCAGGCCAGCCCGGGCGAGCACAGACAAACCTTCATATCTGCAAAATGCCGCTATGTACCCTCTCAAAAAAAATCCCATTACCCAGTGCCTGCTCCACATTGAACTTTACTGCTTTTAACCCCAAAATGGAGAATTGCAATTTGCTGGGATAGCAGTGAAAAACTCTCTCCCCCTTCCTCCTCTCCACCCCTTCCTATTTTTGTTGTTGTCAGCACCACTAATTTGGGGTGTTCCTGGGCTCGCTACGCAGCGCCCAGGCTCACACGCCGCTGCCCGGCCAGTCTGTCCCGCAAAGGGAGAGGATTTCGCAGACCTTGAGCTGGAGAAGCGTTTGTGGCCGGGGCCAACCTTTAACGGGAGCCCCTGCGAGTTAAACACACCCCGAAAAACCATCCCGCAGCTGCTGCGCTCGCCGTGTTTTCTGGCTCAGCTGCAAAAAAAAAAAACCCCAAAAAAAAAACCAACCCACAAAACCCTGGCAAAGCGATTCAGAGGGCTAATCTCGTTTTAACCTAAATTCATTCAGCACAATGCAAAACCAGCATAATCTCCTGCAGCTAAAAAAGCCGGCCAGCCTTCAGCAGAGCTGTTCCCTACCCGAAGGAAAACGTTCCTGCCACGTACCGTAACGCTCCAGAGACTCCCGTTAATTCCCCTATTCCTATCGGGGGCGGTAAACGTTTGGATTTCAGAGCCCAAAAGGCTGCGGAGGGAATGGGGCACTATGGGAGAGAGCAGCTTTGCCTCTGCAGGTTTCACAGGCTGAAGACAGACACCAGATAAAGGATTTGGGACCAGGATGTGACAGCGGGTGGGATGGGATGGGTGAAGGGAGGCTGTTTGGGTTTAGGGTACCAATTTGCTGCCCAAGAGCTATGTCACCCCATAACACAATTTCTACCTGTGAGCTGGGGGCGTTGGTGATTTCTTATGATACACGGTCATGGGGAAAGATGGGGGAGCTCCCATTTGCTCCCAGGGATGCCAGGCAAGGGTGAAAGGCATCATGGACGGCACGGCCACCCGCACATCCCTCTGAGCTCACCTGGGACACCCCCACACGTTGGATGCTTGCCGCTGGCTTGGGTTGCCCCAAGGGCATCAGGCTGTTGGCCGCAGGGAGGAGACACACCTTTGCATTGCTTAGGAGAGTCCTCGCTCCCTCCACAGCACAAAAAAAAGCTCTCTTTATTTTTTGTTTGTGTTGGGTTTTTTTTTTTGCAAGACGGCTTCTGCAGGGCCAGTTGGTGGAGAGGTGCAGTGCAGCGCCCACGCCTGCCACCACCAGGGTCACCCGCTCCTTCAGATCAAACTGGTTCCGTTTGGAGAGAAACCGCCTCGATTTGTCTTGTGTTTGGGCAGACAAACCGCCGGGAGCCAAACTTGGATTAGCTCTAATTAAAGGCTTTCCAACCAGCACAGATTAAAAGAACCCCAAACAAAACGACCTCAACGCCTGCCCTCGGCATTGAGCAACCGTCTCCCCCGGCCGCTTGTGGTCCAGACCGCCGCGAGGCAGCGCAGGGATTTGGTTTGTCTTGCACAAGCTGCTTCCCACAGCTTTCTGCATCCCTCCCAGGGCCACTCCATCACCACCCACACCCACAGAGCGGGAACCAGCCCAGGGAGAGGAGGTGGACAGGTTACAGCAGGTAACACCTTGCTGAAATGCAGCGTGCTGCCATGCTGAATCTGCATCCCAGGGGGCTTTTGAGCTTTCACACCCCATGCGCTGCTTCAGCAACTAGCTGGGGACCTTTGGGGCAGAGGGACTGCTCAGGAATGGCCAACACCTAAGTCTGATCATGAGAGATCCTCATTCGAAAAAGCCAAATTGGATGCACGGCAGAGGAGGACATACCGGCTAAGGTGAATTTTTAAAAATACCTCCTTTGCTGAAACAAGCCCTGTTTCTCATGCGGAGCCATCTGAGCCACGTTCTGAAAAGGTCACCAAACCAATTTTACCAATTTCTAGGGAAGCAAGTGAAAGTCACAGGGGACCACCAGGCTCCAGGTGCTGCTGGACACTGGAGAACACAACAGTGTTTTAAACAACAGAGAGAAACATCCTCCAGGAGAGCTGGTCAGGAAGCCCAGAAGACTTGCATTCAAGTATCCATGAGATTTGGGTTTGCTCATTCTCTGGAGCATCTGTTTGCTGTGTTTTCAGAGTTGAGAGTATGCACAAGAAAACAGTTCGTGGTTACTCCGTCATTGGGAGTCCACCATCCCAATGAGTCCCCCAGTACACGCCATTCTTGAAGCTACCACCTGCATTTCTGTGCTATTTGAGGAGAAATGCCTGGTAGTCTCAGCTGAAGCAGCGCAACGCTCCGGAGCATTGAGCACCACACAACCCATGTCTGTTAATTAGGCATTGTGCTGATGAACAAGCCTCATGATTCTATCTGATGTCCCAGCCCAGCGCTTTGCTGTAGTATTCAAAGTCAGAGCACTAATGAGGAGGACAGAGGTTACTATCTGCTCCAGGAGAGCAAGAGGACGACATGTCCTGAGACATTGCACATACTGGAAACTTGAATTCGCTTGTGCAAAATGACAATTTTCTCTGCCTCTCCTTTTCCTAACCATAGCTTTGTCTCAGGTTTTCAATTTCATTTTTCCATCTTTGATAAAAAAAAAAAAATAAATCTCGGAGCACAGTAGGAAATGAGAAAGTGACATGCTGCTTAATTACTAGGAGCTGGAAGAAGAAAACAGCAACTGAATTGGAGCAGGAGTGACTGGGCAGCTGGCAAAGTGAACCTATACAAAATTCGGGCAGGACACGTGGGGCAATGCTTGGCATACACCTGACTTGGGTGTCTCAAAACCACAAGCAGGAATCCTGGGCTAACGCATCGAAACCTGCGATTTCATGCTATGGTTACGAGGGACCAAGACGTTCAGTACACTAAGTGAAGTCACACGGGGTATGTGACACAGTGAAGGGACCACAGCCCCTCTTACAGGGGGAAGTTTGTGATGGTCAAAATGGGATTTGGGCACCCTCTGCCCCAACAAACACTCTGCCCCACAAACTTTGCTATACATGAAGGTCCACCTTGGCAGGCCCCCACCAAGCTCCCACAGAGGTTTGCAGGCACCCACCCGTTCTCCTTTGGGTCTGGGTCACTGCTAAGGTCATAAAATCATAGAATGGTTTAAGTTGGAAGGGACCTTGAAGATCATCGAGTTCCAACCCCCCTGCCATAGACAGGGACACCTCCCACCAGACCAGGCTGCCCAAGGCCACGTCCAGCCTGGCCTTGAACACCTCCAGGGATGGGGCCTCAACAACCTCTCTGGGCAACCTGTTCCAGTGCCTCACCACCCTCAGAGTGAAAAACTTCTTCCTAATGTTTAATCTAAACCTGCCCTCTTCCAGTTTAAAGCCATTCCCCCTCGTCCTGTCACTACATGCCCTAGTAAAAAGTCCTTCCCCAGCTCTCCTGTAGGCCCCCTTTAGGGACTGGAAGGCCGCAATAAGATCTCCCCAAGCCTTCTCTTCTCCAGGCTGAACAGCCCCAACTCTCTCAGCCTCTCCTCATAGGAGAGGTGCTCCAGCACCTCCAGTCAACAGGAGATGTTTCACCAACTGGTATAGGTGGAAGAGCCCTCCCTTGACTGCCCCCCACCTCCATCCATTTGTTGTCCCATTGGCTTCTACGTTCAGAAGAAGCCCCATCCACCACCATTACAAACACTTCCAAAAGCCCACCAAATTATCAGAGCCAATAAAACAAAAGCATGCTGAAAGGTAAGCCAGGGGTGGCCAAAACAAACTGTAAAGGTTTGCACCTCCCGACGACGTACACCTGGCCCAGACCCTGTTGCAAGATATTCTGCAGCAATTTATTTATTCTTCCAAAATAGCTTGTTTTAAGGCCAGAGCTGCCAAAGAAAGGCAACATCTCTGGAGAACAGCACGCATGGAACCCCCCATGCCACCGGTCACCACCCTGGAGGAAGCGACACGCTGCTCTACAACAACATTTAGTGCTCAGGGATGCTTGGTCCTTCTCACAAAATCCTGGGCATTTAAGTCATAGCATTTAAGAGCAAGTTTAAAGGGAGATGCTTTTTCCTTTATGCCCCCAACACAAGGGCTCAAGTACTGGGTCCTCCTGGTGACCTTCAAAGATACAGGTAAACCCCAACACGCAGGACTCGAGAGCTTCTCAAGACTTTGACAAGGTTTTGGGCAAAGTTTTGCTCAAAAGCAATGTAAAGTTTAAATATAAGTCCTGTAAAGCTTAAATATAAGTCCCTGAGGAGCTCTGGGGGAAGATGGAGTCCAGCTACTTGGCTGTTAGCTAAGCTCACGGCCACAGCTAGGTCCCATGCACCCACATGCTCTCCAGGGCCAGACAAGATGTGCACCACATCAGACAAGAGCAGACGAAGCCCAGCCCATCATTACCGGTGTGGTGTCCTCCATCAGGCCTCGGATCTTCTCCACCACATCGTTGCGACGGTGCTGGCGGAGGGCGCTGATGAGCTGGGCCAGGCTGGCCTCGGGCCCGCGGATGGTCCAGTGCTGCAAGGCGGCGTAGGCGCGCTCATGGTCAGCCGCATAGCCGTTGGAGAAAGCTGCCACCTCACGTTCGCTGGCGTTGCACAGGAACTGGTAGATGTCCTTCCACTGGCTCCCTACCTGGGCTGCCACCAGCTTCAGGATGTCAATGCCTGCAGGGCAGAAGAGCTACAAGTGAGGCACGGGGGTCTGCAGCCTCTTGGCATTGCAGACCTAAGCTTTAGCAAAGCTTCTCCCATCCCCAAATAGCCGTGCTTTGCTTTTCTTTGGTTGCTTTTTGTTTGGAGATTTTTATTATTATTATTAGTTTTAAGACCTTTCTTGAGCCAAGGCTGCAAGGAGCTCTGCAGACAAGCAGCACCCGTAACATGCTCAACACCTGCTATGCAAGTAAGGGGGGGTAGACCTATAGGTTGCTCCAGTCAAGGCACACACACTCTAAAATTATCCACGTTAATGTAACCGTAAAGTTTCCTGCGCTTTTTTGGCACAAGAAAAATCCTGGTTGTCAACCACCACATGGCTGCAGGAACATGGGAGATGGCCACAAGCTTGGCCGTTCCGCTTTGAATGGGAGCTGGATTGAGAGGTGAGTCACCAAAGCATCTCTATAAAGGTGAATATTTCCATAACTGAGCACCTATAGCAGCTACAATCACATGTAGAGCCATTTCCAGTGCAGACTGGTAGGATGACTCAGTTATGGCACAGGAGATACTGCACCAGGTGAGCATTGGGTGAATGGAAGATCTGTTGGGGGATCTGAAGAGCAAAAAGGCAGAGCTCCCCCCAGAAAAGTCCTTGAGACACATTGGTTCAAGTCGGTGAGGGTTTCCTCCCTTTAGCTTTGGGAGCAACACAAACAGCACACTCATCCTTGCGTCTACTAAGAGATCAGGAGTTAAGTCCTCAAACAAAGCCATACCTCTCCCATAACAGCTAATTAACCTTGTTTTATCAAGCCGAACACCACCTTGAGTTAAGTCCTCAAACAAAGCCATACCATAACATTAGCCATAACAGCTAATTAATCTTGTTTTATCAAGCTGAACACCACCTCGTTTTAAACCACCACATGAAGGGTCGGCGTGGGTGAGCTGCAGAGATAAACTCACTTTTTCCAGAGAGGTTTCCTCATGCACCAGCACATCCCCATCGCTACAGGGACTATTTATTTCTCCTTCCCTCTGCGGGCACAACTGCTGAGTCAGCAAAACCAGCTGTGCACAGAGGAATACCATAGCCAGAGTCTTTCCTGCTGGCCTAAAAATTAACAATTTCTAATGCAGCTTAGACCAGACCTCCCAACTGCACCTTCAGGTCGCAGCGCTGATATAGCCAAATAGGTACGTACATACATATATATAAAAAATAACAAAAAATATAAACTATACAGCCTTATATAGACATATTTATATACATATATAAAAACTACACAGCTAACAGATATATTGATACCTCTTTATATAGATATAAAACCAGTACAGCCTGATATATATTTATCTCTTTTTAGACATATGTATGTATGTGTATATATACACAGATATATGATACAGATATTTTTATATATCTCTATATATGATATACATATTTTATACACGTGTACATATATAAAATATCTATACAGCCTGATATAGGTATTTTTGTGTGTGTAATACTGTGTAATACACATTTTTATATATATATCTGTATGACACAGATATTTTATATATGTGCATATATATGCTTATATACACATACATATATATCTCTATAAAAAAAATAAAATATACAGGCTCATATAGATATTTTTTACCCAAACCCTTCTCCCTATTAAAGCAAGCTTAATCAAGACCTGCTATATATAGACTTCAGTTTTCACTTCCAAGCTAGATAGCATCGCCGTGACCCCGCGGTGCTCAGAGCATCCACAGCCGGTGTCCGACCTGCTCTGCAGCAGAAACGCCAAAGTACAAACCGTGTTCTGCGTTATCACTACCCTCCTCCCACCGCAACCACCAAACTTCCCCCGCAGCTGATTTACAGCGATGTCCATGTGCCATCTCACACGGAGATGCAAAGGTCGGGGTTTCTCCTACCATAAAAACTCAGCCCAGCGCAGGGGATGCAGCACCCCCAAAACCCAAACCAACCACAGGGCTTGGTTTTAACTATGGAGAGATTTGAGAGGGAGGGAGGAAAAAAAAAAAAAATAATAAAAAAAAGCCGCCTTCATTATTCAAAATAAGCCCAAGACAAAGAAAACATTCCCCAGTATGAAGGAACAAGAAAAGGCTGCGAATACGCTATTGAGATTTATGATGGGGCTAATTATCTGAGGGACGTAAATATATGCTACGGCCCATCACATTTCAATGCGGTGGCAGGAATTAAGCCTGGTCTTGTTAACTCCTCCCGTTACTCAGGCAAAGACAAGTTCCTCTCCCTCGATGCCTCTGCATCCACCCGGTCCTGCACTGGAAGGAGACGCAGCTCAGGTCACGCCAGCAGCCAAACCCCACGCTTTCGGGTATCGCACCCCCGCGTCGGTAGGGAGCCCAAGAGCCAACGCGAGTTTGGAGTCACATACTTTAAACCAGCAAATTACAGAATCACAGAATGGTCAGGGTTGGAAGGGACCTCTGGACATCGTCTAGTCCAACCCCCCTGCCAGAGCAGGGTCACCTACAGCAGTTGCACAGGACGGCGTCCAGGAGGGTTTGGAATGTCTCCAGAGTGGGAGACTCCACCACCTCTCTGGGCGGCCTGTGACAGTGCTCTGCCACCCTCAACATAAAGAAGTTCCTCCTCATGTTAAGATGGAACTTCCTATGTTCAAGTTTGTGCCCGTTACCTCTCGTCCTATCACTGGGCACCACTGAAAAAAGACTGTTCCCATCCCCCTGGCACCCTCCCTTTAAGTGTTTGTACGCATTAATAAATTAAAATTCAACTAGTTTGGACATAAAACCAGCAGAGCACTAGGTTTATGCCGGCGACGCTTAATTTTATCACTCAACTCAGGAAAAAAAAAAATAAAAAAAATTCCTGACCCGGTAGGTAGGAAAAGCTCTACAGAGCTTGTGCACCAAGGTAACGACAGCCATGCAAAGAGGGACGAGCAGGTCTGGCGTTGCCCATTATATATCTATATAGAGATACATCTCAGTGCATAAGTCATTATCGCAGAGCTTTTTCTACCCTCATATTCATGGATTTATTTTTTTTTCCTGGGTTGAGTGACAGATATATAATGCTGCCCATTTACATATATATATTTAAAAAAATAAAATAAAATCAAATGCTGCCCCTTTTATATAAGAAACGAGGAGAGCTGAGTGCCCACAACAGTGCTGCCCTGCGGTGAGACGCAGCGTTACGGCTGGGTGGGAACTTTGCCCACACCCACTCCCACGCATGTCAGTCACACAGAAGCACTTAAAACATAATTCGCTGGTTTATGACCCGTGCGTGGCACATCTCACCCTCCCCGGGAAAGGAAAAACCCATATCCTACCCACTCCTACCTGTGTATTTAATGCTGATAAGTCCCAGTATTTACAGCTGCTGTACCGGTGAGAAGTTTTCAGCTGGTTGCAACTTGATTTGCACCAGTTTTACATGGTGGCACGACATTCACGACCTAATGTGCTCGCGCAAGATTTATGACAAAGCGCTTGTGGTCCTACTGACATTTTCAAGTTTAGTATATTTAATCTCAGCGTTCAATAAAGTGGCCCCATAAACATGTTTATATCTCTTGGCAATAATATCCCAGGGTACGAGAACACACCAGGCAGCAGAAGACTTAATGGCGCGTAATAATCTTTGGAGAACAAATGTTCCATTAAAAACAAATTTGGAAATGTCTACCTTAATACTGTAAGAACCTTAAACTCATTTTCTTGCAACTATTAAATGAATTTCAGCCCCATATGTTCGCTACATCCACTACAATATTGTGCAAACAAAACCCCAGAGAGATATGGAAGAGACGCAGACATGAGCGCAGATTTGGCTCCAGTCAGTTAGAAAACCATTGCTCCCTCTGTTCTTGAAAAATAAGATTAAAACCATTACATGACAAGTTGTAGCTGCACGCTGCCAAGTATTACTGCTCAAACCATTTACAGTAACTTAATTCACTTGTCCAAAACTAAAATAAAATGTTAATGCTTATAATAAGCTTACAGTCCTACTATTTCCATATTTCCCAAAGCCCTACAAGTTACTCTGCAGAGCACTAACAGTGTCGGAGTGTCCCGTTGGGATGGGAAGGTGCTCACCAGGGTGCATGGAGCAAAAAACCCCAGCTCCATCTTCAGTCCTGGGTCCTCCCCAACCTCTGAACCACGTGGACCTTCTCCCACCAGGCTCATCCGCAAGGTGGACCTTCTCCCACCAGGTTCATGCGCAAGCCAAGGCTGGAGATGACGCTCAAAGCCCTCCAGAGCCCAGCAATCCCAAGTGAAATGCCCAAGCGCAGCAGGGATGGTGTTTTAACCCACCCATTTCATGCTTCCCACAGAAGGCCAGTTACAGCCACTTCATGCGCAAGCCAAGGCTGGAGATGATGCTCAAAGCCCTCCAGAGCATCCCAAGTGAAATGCCCAAGCTCAGCAGGGATGGTGTTTTAACCCATCCATTTCATGCTTCCCACACAAGGCCAGTTACAGCCATGTCGGCGTGATGCTAAAGCTGCTCTGAGCTTGCAAGTACCAAAGAAAAGTCCAAATCCTCCTCCTTTTTAAACACAGGCCACAGAAACAGCCTGGGAGAGCTGCCACCACCCTGCTGCTAATGCAGGAGGCACCGCCACCCTCTCCATCCAGGACCACCACCATTTATTACCCAGCTTTGCTCACCTCAGAAACTGGAATTCAAGAAGAGCCCTTGCTGTGAAACCCTCATGGCTGCATCCAGCAGAGCTGCATGTGCTGTGGCCATCCCAGAACAGGCAACGGCAGCATCTGAAGGATCCAGGACATCTATGTGTGTCTTGGGTACCTGGACAGGTGGCATTTCAAAATCTAAACATCCCAATTCTTTAAACGTGATGGGCTGCTCCATATAACCATCTAGTATTTTAAGGTGGTGATAACCCTGGAGCAATGAAGAACTCCCCTTCAAGCCAGAACAAGGCCAATGTGTTGCACAAAAGCAAATGCGGAGC